GTCAGCTGCTTCAATGAATGAGATTTCAGAAATGTCTGGGGTCCGTTTCCGTTTGCAAGGATTTGCTTTACCGTATAATATTCGTATCTCTTATATTCGCATTTGTTCTCCCATTCTGCAGAAGATTTGTTGATATCTCATTTAGAAACATGTTTACAAGCAAAATACGCATCAATGGGAAGAGATAGCTGAGCATGGTTAATGGACTGGAGACAAGGGAAACTGCTGGCGGTTGTGAAAATCACGGTGCTCAATGTCCTACTGCTATCATACGAAATTGAGCATATCTCTATTATCTAGAATCCTACGCTCGAAATCCCCAATTCAAGGCGTGTTTTACCGTGAAAGAGGATTCTGTGGAGAAAGACGGGAAATGCACTGCTGTTGTGTCAGTGTTGCAAAAATATCCAGGGAATTGGGGGAGGACAGTCTGGCTTTCGGATTTAGAGTTTACCAAGTAAGCAAATTCTTAGTATTTTGCATGACAAAAGGCTATAATTTATCCAATTTAGCCTCGTGCAGTCCATATTGAGGCAAAGGTGAAAGTCTTTATTTAGAGTACTCATAGTAAACAGCCTGAATTGTACTTAACAGCGCATACTTTGAAGGGTTTTGGTAGTACAGTATTACATATGCTATGCTTGTCTTTCATTAAAAATTCCTTATTCTTCATAATAACGCAGGTTATATTTTTAAAATTATTTTCTCAAAAGTCGAAAGTTAGAAATTTTCTATCATTGTATCTTTCTTTTCCTTTGAAGTAGTGCATAATTCAATGTATTGAATCCCAGTAGCTTTGCAATAACATAATCATGACATAATCCACATGGAGAGAGAAAATCTATGATTTCCAACCTTTTCTGCCTTTCAGTTGAGCTTAATCGCCAGTTCTAGGAGAAGGTAAAAAAAAAAAAGGAACTTGCGTTTAATCATTTTGGTAGTGCGGAAAAAATTTATCAAGTCTTAATAGTGGAGAATGTACAAGGTGTTTTAAAAATATGGTTACTGAGGTTTGTTAAGAACTCTTA